GCCCCCCCCCCCAAATCCCACCAGCCCCCCCTACCTTATAAAAAATGAATGGTCCCTTAACTATACCTGTCAAATAGCTAAAGTGTTAGGTCAAACTGAGGCAGTATTGAATGTTGAGCGAGCCTGTTGGTTTTCTTGTCTTGTCAGGTGAGGGGACCCTCTCCACAAGACCCAGACCTCATACTGGATGATCTATTAACTCCGTGTTCACCAGGTAGGAGCGGTGTCCTGCATTGAAAGCGTAAATCAGATTAAATCCTGAATGTACGCATTGCTTGCCTATGCTCTGTAGACGGCAGAACAGCGAGTGTCAGTTGCTCTAGAACGTTGATGATCAATCCCTTCAAGCGCACAAGCAATGCTGGTAATACTGATTTTCCAGTGGTTATCTGTCGTAGAGATGATTGCGTGTCTGATTTTGGGGGCCACTAGCGCTTTGTTGGACAAAGTGAACTGATTACGTAATCCCTAATCGGATTCTGTGTGATAAATATCGGAACTTATCACATGACTGACAAATTTTTTTAATTGTGATTGACTGATAGCAGGCCAATTTATCTTTAATTTTTAATCTGCACTGCGCGTTAAAGCGCGCGTGTTCGCAATTTTCTCAGCCATATGCAGTAATAAATAAGTAATCGTCTGATAGCTTGTGCAATTAGGATCCACACTATACATGAATGATATCGCAAAATTCTCTCAAATTGCGCACACCTGAAGGCTCGTGTAATTTTGGGAGAATTTTCAAGTAATATATCATACCATAGTGATCATACACGGGAGACCGTCTTTCATCGGGATATCCAAACACAGGGAAGAGGAAACACTCTCTGGAGTGTTTGATATATCTTCTCAATCGAAACGAAAAGCAAGGAGTAAACAGACAAGTAAAATCTATGCTAATTGAGACCGAGTATCCAAACCTCCTTCATGGTTTTGATTTTCTTTGTTTTAACTTGATTATTTATTAATGAGTTTGAGAATTATCTCGCGTAACTGTGTGAATGCTTGGATAGCACCATTCAGTAGATAAATTGCTATCCAGGGGATAAACGTTGAGGAGACAAACCGCGCTATCCATGGGATAGTGATTTGTTCATTGGATAGCGGTATCCATGCTTTGAACAACCGGGCCTGTTCGACAAAAGTAAACCAACATTGCTGGGACTCTCTCGGTCGATGCATAATCCTTAAATCAAAATCTTGACGAAAATTTCTTTTCTCTTTTGTAGGGGAACCCGGAGCGCAGGAAATGACGTGGATGCAGGTGCCAGGAGACAAGTTACTAGAACCTGTCGTTAATTTGGTAATCAAGCATTTCTTCTTATCTAACTGTAGCAACCTGACAGACACTTTTTTATTTCCGTTCTCGTCCTTACACGCGACACTCTTCGGAGATTTACATTGTACAGATCCTCTTGCAGGAAGAAAAAGTGCATCATGTAACGTGTTGACTGTGTTTTTTTTGTTTGTTTGTTTGTTTTATGAATCACAGTAATGGAGTGTCAATGCAGAGTTTTTGTCCTTATTTGTAGAGTAATAGAAGTTTACACAGACTGATAAAAACATTGAGGTAGTTTGGGAGAAACTATTCAAAGCTAGGTAGACTTTTGAACGCTTCCAAACTTTTTCTCTGTACTTGCATTCAGTTTTGTCAACAAGCATATCACTTTCTATTTCTTACATCAATTGCCTAGTGTTCAAAGAGTGTTACTCAAGCCTGCCGACCTAGCACAACAGTTTCTTTGGAAGCCATTCTTTCTTTTTCCTTATAATGTTGAGATTGTTCTCATTGCATCTTTTTGTAGACGGACATGCTGCGATCATTGGCGACTTCCAAACCTACAGTGAATTCTGCAGACCTGAAAAAGTTCGAGGACTTCACCAGAGATTTTGGGCAGGAAGGATAGAGAAAGGGAGTCTGGAAACCAATGCCGCTCTCTCTTGTTTATTTCTTCGGCTCCAAAAATAATGAAACTAATCATAATTTGTCTTCTGAATAGCTGATTGTATGTCAATGTAAACTATGAAGATAATTTCTGTTTTTGCCTCTTCCGTCTTGTGAATGAAGAGATTTACATTTAATGCAAGAACGCTTTTACTGTAGAAATATGTTTAGTATTGTTAGTCGCGAAAAGTAGACGTAGTTTCTAAGTTAGAAAGTTCCACAGAAACGGTGAGCCAACCACAACGGTAGCAATAAAAACGAGAACTTCACGAAACAAAACATGGACCGTCAATTGCTTTGCACGTGCGTTGTAAATCTTGGTACATTTTTCGACCGTCCTCTAGAAAACTGCAACATGAAATTGACCAAATTCTGTGTAGTGTGGAACGCGTCAACCGTGACAATAAATTTTTCATGTTTCCAGTTTGATTTCAGCAGTGCGTTTATAGATTCATTTGGAGATTAGTGCTGACGGCAATAGCTAGACACGCTAAATTTAGATGGTCGAGTAAAGTATTTTACACTATACAACAACATATTCAAACACTCACGTGGCCAGCAGCCATGCAAACTTATTGGACCAATGGTATGTGGATATTGTGTGGCACGATATTGTGAAAATTTTGAACGACATTTTATAGTATTAAACTACATATGAGGCTAAAGGCTCTTGAAAGTGTCAAATAGTAGCTGGTTTACTAAACGTTTCGGGCTTAGCCCTTCTTCAGTCTGAAACGTTTAATAAACCAGCTACTATTTGGCACTGTAAAGAATCCTCAGCCTCACATTTAGTTTATCGTCATAGTGTCACACATAATATGAGTTTTTTTTTTGTTCATTTCTACTGATTTTATATTGTTCCTTTCTTGGCCCTATGACTGAAGTAACTTGGACGGCTTGAGCGACTCCAGTATGGGAAGTTTCCAATATAGCTACCAACTTTTCTACTACTGCCTGAAAGTAATGTTCACTCCGACCCACGATTAATATTTTCTTCTTTATTAAACGACACATTTGTATGGCGTTGGAAAACTACCCAAATAACGCCCGTTTGCTCGGCGGTTGGTATGTATAAGGTGCTGTTTTTGAAACAACATATAATGCACCAAACATGACGTCACGTGTAAACGATATTCAGTATAGGTCTAAAATGAACCTTTATTTTTATCTCATCCTGGCAGTCTTTAATGTTGTACAGATATAATTTAGGCCATCCAATGTTTCAATAAATCAGTAAACTGTTAAAAGGCGAGTTTTGCTTTCACAGGATGGTTTTTCTTCCTTTCATTTTTGCCTACAAAGAACTCATATGCTACGCTTTGGACACATTAAACTGTTTCATTCGTGACCTTTTGTTAGTAGTTACTTTGCAGCAAAAGAAAATTTTGACAACAAACATATAAACTCGAAAATGCGCAAACCGAATTAGCGCGGCGGAATGAGCAAGAATATAAATAAGCCTCTCGCTCGCACAAGTGCCTCACGACTCCACTGGTAATTCAGAAAATGCTCCAAGACCTGGTTACATGAAGAGTTGTTTCTGCATGATAGGAGAGTTACCCTGTATATACCCCGCGCCATTTTGAGCGTATATAATGAAAAATGGCAAGTTGATTGGTTCGGTCGTCGAGGATAACCTTCTCCATCAGTGCTACTCGTCTTAAAATTTCGTTGACGAGTAGCCCTCCGTTTCGCCGACCACGTGACCAAAAGAAACGGAGATTCTGGGGACGAGAATGGGATGACCCTCAAGGTTTTGAGCGCGTTCGATATGCCGTGACTTGCCCCTCCTCGACGAACCAAACATAGTGTCTGGAGGGGAAAACGAAGGCTTGCCCCTCCGTTCCTCGAAGTGAATGACCCACCAGCTAATGTCACCGTAGTTCCCGAGCCGACTTTTTCACATCTCGTATGAACAGTTCGCTGCTTTTTTTTTTTTTTACAAAGAAATGGCTGAAATGCAAAAAAGTCCCCGCTCGGGTTACCCGGTATGGTGGGTTACCCTACGACTAGGAATAACATGTCTGTATATCAAAGCCCTACCCTCTATTCAGTCTCTTTCAGTACTTGTAAAGCATGCATGCGTGTCAAACATGTATTAACAGATAATGCTGCACGCTAAATTTAACTTACTGAAGGCGCTTATTACACTTGACTACCTCAACTGAAAGTGGCAAAAGAAATTGATTGTCGAGGCGTCGTGGCACATTACCTGAAAGAAAAAACTTTTCATTGTGAACATAGGTGGGGCATTTTCACTCCTTTCTAAGCCCCGCCGTTGGAATTCGTATACACAACCTCACCACACCTTTGGGCATTGACTTGAACTTCCTGAAAACAAATGCCTAAAGAATATCCAGAGGGATGATTGGTCTTAAAATTGACAGAGCCATTGTGCGTCTATCAAAAAAACTTAAAGATGTCATTCTCACAAAGCCCAACCACGTACTTCCTTTGTTCGGCGCGTATACTCCCTTTATGGAGTTCTTTCGTGATAGTCTTTGAGAGTGTACTGACAGATATTTCAGTACATAATAGCATAGAAAACAAAAAATATTTATATGCTTCGAATTTTAATAAAACAACGATGTTATAGCTTTGATCGTGGCTGGTTTTGTTGAAGGTGAAGATTGTGACAGCCGGCGCCATGTTGCTAAGTTGTGCAAGTTATAGTCTCGGTCCCCTTCAGTTGAGGAGAAAGTCTTTAATAAATGGCACTACAACTAGACTTAAAAGACTGCATTCTAAAAATACAACTCAACCACGATTAAACGTGCCTTTTTAACGCAAATTCCATCATGAATTTGGTAGAGAAGATCCGGCGGCGTCTTTTCGTATTGCCTACCTGAATAAGTGGGTTTTTACCAGTTTGGCTGAGCAACTTTAGACTATTAAGAAATGTAACTCATTTAAAACTAATGTTCACATTGATTTACGGAAATAGGCGGAGAATTGTTCTGCACCAAAGGAATATTAAAGTACAATGAGTTTACTAAATTTACAAACGACTTGAGTTCTCCATGAAGAGCTTTTTCACATAATAAATCTTTAAATACTTGAAAACATCAAAAAAGATCTGAAACCTAACCACTAAGACAACATGAACCCAAAAAGAGAAGGATATCATAAAAGCTTTAACATTTTCTAAACTACTTCAATAAACTTTTAACGTTTTGGTATCCCCTGTTCTGGACTTCCAAACGATGCCAGCAGCGAAGCAGCCCCCGCGGACGAAGTATGACCAAATCTACAAGAGTTGCTTTCCGTCCTCGGAGAATAGCCACAGTACTTCACAAAAGCGCTGTTATCGGACACCGTGAAACCAGGGCTGGTTGGCGGCTCGATCGGGCAGGAAGACACGCGTTGTTCAGGCCGCCAGTTGTTGTAAGAAGGAAAGCCCGTGAGCACATCTCTAGTATTCCACTGAAACTGGAAAGGAGTTGGCATGTAAGCGCTACAATTGAAGGACTGCTGCCTAGGAACGCTGAACTGTGAATGCAAAATGTTGGACACGCTCTGGATCAAGCCTCCGTTTCTTCCACTGCGATTCATAACGGCTAATTCTTTTTCGTCCTCGAGGTTTCTGTGTTCGTTGGTGAGGGCCGGTGATTCAGTTTTCACAGCGGCGAGCGAAAAATTCACTGCAAATTCATCAAAACAGCACGTTAATAGAACTATACCGCAGTGCAAGGAAAACCATTAAATGTAATACAGAAAACAATGGAGTGCAGTTAAGAAACGTTTCCCCAATGCATTAAAACAATTACGAAGTTTACAAGAATAGTATGCTTACGCAAACTTCAAATAAACAAGTGAGGACTATACAACTTGAAACAAGTTTACCAAAACTGCGTAAACATTGTTCAGCCTCTGTAAACCAAAATATCCCTTTAAAATGAAAGCCGCACTAAGTTTGCAAAGTTTTCACAGTTGACCGGAAAAGAACTTCAAATGGAAGGGTAGAATAAGATTCATGCACTTTCGGAAAAGAACAACAATCATTCGCTTACATTTCGCTTTTCTTACCTCGCCCTGGTTCGACTGGTGTAACGCAGTTAGAACGGCCTCGCTCAATATCTCTCATCTGTTTTCTCCGAAGACGAACTTGCTTTCTCATTACAACTCTTCTTTGCCTTCCCTTGACGCATGGCTGGCAGTCACAGCTCGAGAAAGGACATTGATGTTTGTGTCCCTTGGAGTTAGTTCGTACTCCGTGATTTCTACAAAGAGTACAACAAGGCTTTCGTTCCTTTCTGATGTTCATTAAATTTTCAAAAGAAGACTCCTCCATGATATTGAAGCTTTGTTTAAGTCCGAAGGTAGACGCTGGTGTGACTTTTTTCGCTCAAGGTTACGCCCTGTGTCTAGAAATCTTGACGACACAAGCGAGACAAATCTTGCAGCGGCGCCAGGGGCGGCGCTTATAAAATCACCTACTGGCAACCCTACTGGCATATGTCAGTCTGATTGTCAGTCTGTCAGTCTGAAGTCAAAATGTCGAATATTATTGGCCCAAACAGCTTGTTCCCGTGCGCAGCACGTGCTATCTGTACGAGTACACTTCAATTTCTGGTTTTTAAAACCTACGGGCCGATTACGGGCCTGCAAAAACAAAGCAAAAACCATATGCGGCAAGGTCTCGGTTTGAGATTATCCCGTGAAGACCTCACTCTTGGTCAATAAGTAGTTACTAATGCGGATTTGACGAGGCACAGTCAACTCCCGTTATAGCAGACACCCTCAAGACCGTACTTTGATGTCTGTTATAGAAAGTCCGCAATAGCGGGGTGTGATGAAAATGACCCAATTTTTGGTTTTAAAGTGTCACATACAGCATAAACTGCTATACTCTTTCAAGATTTCCAATTTCTTTTAATTTGTAGTACAAGTTTCCTTGGATACGAACATAATCATATAATGTACAGGTGAAAACAGTGCAAACTAGAAAACAGTCCAAGACTGCAGGCCCCAGTTGTTCGAAACGTGGATAACGCTATCCACCGGATAAATCACTATCCAGCGGATAAGAGTTAACAAAACAAACCAAGCTATGAAAATTAGTTTGTGAACACATGAAAAGTTCATACATTTCTTTCTAGTTTCGGCCGGGGATGTAGCTTCTGATCTGTCACTAATGTCTCTGTCAATTCCCAGCCCTCTCACCCCAACCTCGCCCCCCGGGCATTTCACAAGTTGTAGGTCCCCGCCATGGGGCATTTGCGCGCAAAGGGATACCCGGGGTGGGGCATCTGACTAAATTGTCAAATGTCCCACCCCCCGAGTGGGGCAAGAATTATAAACCGGTACTTTTTAAAAACTAAAGGCTTCTTTATTAAACATCAAAAGGATTAACCCTACGTAAAGAACATAGATGTAAATTCTTTTTTCTGAGATTTAACCCACTGGAAACGAAACTAGCTCGTACCCCACCACCACCCCCAAAAATTCATGTTGGTCTTCTATGTGCGAGAGAATCGAGTCGAGAAACGAGTAAGCGTGCAAAAGTCCGTTAGTGATTTATTCTCCCAAAATAAAGCTCAAGAAAAAGCCTTTGGAACGAAAAAGTTGGGGTTAAGGGGGAATTTCAATGCTCTGTTGGTCTAGTGCTCAATCACCACACAGTCAAAGGAAAAGACAATTCATTCAGTCACTTGTGATTTATTTTGTCCTGAATTCGTAATATCATCATTGACCTAAACATGCTCATATAAGTTTGCTAGACGCTTTAGCAGACATAATCTGGCTCGCTACGCCAAGAAGTCTACAAGCTTGCCTGAAAAATAAAGATTTCGGGCTACAACTGCTTAGAATCGTGATAAAACGTTTTCTTTAATTAAGAAATAATTTCTTTCACATCGCGTGTATAGTTTTCCAAGCTGTCTAATAGAGTTTCTTCATTCGCATTTTTACGCGATTCGCAGTTAACTTGCATTTTTTCTACCATGGAGTAATATCAGAAGAGAACAGCGCGGGCTCCGATCCACACTAAAATGGGAACTTTATTCACCACTCACCGACAAAATCCGAGATGAGCCTGGGAACGAGGTTGGATCTACACGGTAATATTCATTGACACTTGAGTTCAAGTCTTTTCCGTTCTACTGTACCTCACTCTTTGATCTAATGACACGCTTTAGCTTACTAGTTACTGTTTACTAACCCAAGTTGAATTTATCTTATGAGAACAGAACTTAAACGAAAATCAAAGCTTACAAACCCCTCCCTCTGCACGCTCAATTCCGCTCCTGCTTGAGAGCGTCCGAGATTCGACCCGGAAAATCCCAGTGATGATGTAACTCAAAAGAGACCCGTATATTGCCGGTGATTGGCTATTGTTCGGTTTTGAATTTTCGCACGCAAGTAACAGCCAATCAGAGACACTGCACGGACCTTGCAGAAGTATGTTATCAGAATGGAATTTTTCGAAGTCGAATCTGAGATTGCGCAAAGAGAGACGTCTGTTTCATAAGACACGGTCTGTGACAGCAAAATCATTTAAACAATTCTTCACGCTAAAATGACTATAGTTATTATAAATACATAATTATTTTACTAAGTCTCACTTAATTCATAGTATATTTTGTAGTTGTTGAAGTAAGAATCTCAAAAAGCCAGTTGTAAATAAAATGCGGTGTTAGTGTCATAGCATTTAAAAGGCTTATTCATGAGTAAAAACATCAACAGTGATAATTCATTATGGAGAAATGTAAACTACCCATGGCATTGCTTTCTTCAATTTTCCCTATCGAGTTGTAAATACAACTGGAAAGGGTCTAGACTAGTACATGTACAAACCAAACTTTCACAAGCAAATGGTTTCAATTCACTTCAATGTAATGTAATTACAATTTCTTTGATCAAAGTCATAGAGACAAAGTGGATGTCTCGTGAATTCAGAAAATGGGAATGTAGTTGTCAATCTTCGACTTGTTTCTCTGTGCAATGCATTCAGCAATCCATACAATATTCCGGCATTCCTGTTCCTTAAGCTTGACGTAAGCGTAAAACACTCCGAGATGGAACTGCTGTTGAAACGCGAGCGTGTTCATCTTAACCTGGAACAAAAAACAACAGCCTCAGTAAGATACATAATGCCTTTGTTCCCCATATTGATCAGAAAAAAATAATAATAATAATAGTACTATCCGGCAGAGTTGAGAAAGACGGTATCCCTGGTCCCATAAGTTTAAATTCTTTCAGGTGAGATTTCCTCATCAGACAATGCATTCTCTCAGACTACTGTATACTCATATATGCCAGCATTTCAATTTGATTGAGTCTTGAACACGCTTCCTCAATGCTTGCATTCAGTATGAAAATAATAGTTCAGAAAAAATGTTCCTTCTAATATTGCTCACATTTTTGTATGCATATGTACTTATAGACTTGACTAGAGGTTAATAATGACTACATATAAATTATACATGTACCTCATGTTCAAAGAACTTATCCTCAAGAGTCTTTTCACCGGGGTTTGTGCCGGCTCCTTCAAAGAGAGACTTATAATCCTGTGAGAAAACCAAACATCTAGAATTCATTTTACTGTACAAGTGTTGACAAATAAATACACATGACATTCTGACATGTCAAAAACTCCAATAAACCTTTAAATAACAGTGTATATAATTTTTAGCATGAACATCCTTGGTAACATGAACGTTTAAACTTTGAAATGTGAGCCTGTTATGATCCGGTTACATTATATTTCACTGATTTCTTGATTCTCTACAAGTTCACTTCTATCCCATATGATTCGTTATCAAAGATGAACACCTTGTTCTCTCAAAATTCGCCCCTCTTAGAATAACTTTGCACGTTATGTCAATAGAAAGCCAAGCCACATGGAAATGTTCAGAAAACGAATTTCGGTTCTTTTTGGTAAAGGGCATTTGATTTACTAAATGCAGTTAGAAGATGACTGATTCATGTCAGTACAGCAGAAAAATTTCTGGGGCACCATGTACATTGTAGGTCACAAAGTTTGCAGACTAAGAAGCTTGAAAAAGTATTTCTCTCTAAACTGTGCTTGTCAAGTTGAACATCTGTGGATGGAAACAGTACCCAAGGCTTCAAATAAACACAGAAATAAATAGCAAAAAAACCTACGGAGTAGTAATCAGCCACAGCTCTGACTTGTTCATAATCATCTGCCTTGGCCAGTCTAGACAATCCCTCTGGGTATAGCTTGCCACACTTGGGATACAGCTTATTGCGATCATCTTTGCCAAGTTCAGTGCCAAAGGAGTTGATGGTGATAATGAAAGCTCGACGATCAGCCTCAAACTAAGTAATGAGGAAAATATTAAAATTATCATGAAAGTACTTCACAGGTACACTCCTTACAGTAAAATTGATCACAGTCTGCTCACAACCACTTCTTTTGTTTTGTTGGCCTTTTTTGGTTATGTAAACCTGCGAGTGAAAGGAACACACAAGAGGAAGCACAGAATCCCAGCCCCTTCCATTCTCGTTCCTTCAGTAATACACAGTTTCCAACCGTATGAAAATGCTCTCAACGATAACATAATACTAACTGTAACTCAAAATTCAAGGTTTTGTTCTGACTCTACTTTTTAACCACTATCTTCTGTTCTAGATTTTATATTATACAGAAAATCAGTCTGCGAAGGACTTAGTTTTGCTTTTGAGGTTCCTTGCAAAATTGAGATCTCCTAATTTATGATGAATATCCAAATCTGGATATTATTTTTTTCAAAGCAATCCAAGGGATCTCTGTTGACTCAGAATTTAAGGTCATTCCCCAGTATTGCATTGCGCATCCTTACTGCACATAATTTATGGCGTCACTGGCGTGCGTTCATGCACGCGCACATTGAAAACATGGCGGATTAGCCTTGATATTGAGTTCTGTCAATTGAAAAATGGCTATAGCTTGCTAACGAGCACTGGCACCCCAAATTTTTTANAAATAGGCCTAGTCTCTCCACCTTTCTCATAACAAGTTGTGGGAATGAAGGGGGTGATGATCTTAGAAGAGACACTATGACTAAAAATCAGATTCTCTCAAGCAGAATTAATGAAAATGTATGTAAACATCGTGAGAATTGAGATGCAGATCACGGAATTAACAAATACACAATACTACAGCAGACTCACTTGCAGAATCGGACACATCACATCAGCAGTGGTTCCACCTAAATCTTCACAAAACTTGTAGAAGCCCTCAAGGTATGCCTGATGGTGCAAGTGTGAGTCAGAGGAGACATTCTTTAAAATTGATCCTTGGCATAGTTAACCCCCTCCTTAGGTTTTCAAGTTCACTTGAAAACAAATTATAAGTCTCAAATTACATGTATGATGTAATAGTCAAAACAAATAAAATTTATCACTTCAGTACAGAACAGTTTTGATCTTCAAAGACTAAAAGGATGGTTTTTTGGGGGCTCAGAGCATATGTAAGCTATAATGTTAACCAATTGGAATTACAATAAAGCGATAATTTATAACCAATTATTGGATGAGGTTTTCTGGGATATCTAGAATAATCCAGGGCAAGGTAAGTGTTATCAGCCAAATCAGAAGGCTAAAGCTGATTAGACTTATATGTACCAAGACCTTGATTACTTTGGACATCACAAAAAGACTGAATTCACTAACTATTGATTTGTTATGCATTGTTGCAAAGAATGTAGAACATAACGTACATTAAGCTGTGATTAAATCTAAGCACTGTAAAAGGAGGTTTCATTTGATGTTTTCTTTGGTGTTCATTGAACACGCTGACTGACCTTGTATAATGTGTTTCTGATTATTTCAATATTCATCTCATCCAAGTCCTGCTCTGATATGCATTCCACAAAAAATGGAGCTGCAAACAATACAGTATTCTTGGATTTAATACTACCGTTAATTCTCTATCAAAACATTATTCTTCTAGCTACAGCTGTATGACATTCAAGCAATCATATTATGTATC